AGTTCAGCAGCATCTGTGTTGAGCATCTTCCCCCTAGTGGTCATTACTCGTCATAGCTACCAGTCGGACCATCGCTTAGGCTTTTATACATATAAATTTAATATGAAAATAAATCATTTGGAAATCTACTTAAAATGAAGATTCTGATCCATTAAGTCTGAGGTGGGGCTCAAGGTTGTATATTCTGAACAAGCTCCTAGGTGACTACAACTAGAGCTGCAACTTTTCTATTTCTGTATGTTTATGAATTTTTCATCAAAAATATAAAACAAGTTTCCTCCATTTATTTATCATCTCTTCACTACAAAGTTCCCATGTAACCCACCAGTCATCAAGATCCTAAATAAGCAACTTTAACAATATTAAAAAGACATTGTTTGCCCTACATTATCTCATGCCTATGTAGATAAAAGTAATGTCTTTGAGAGACAAGTCATACATAATTCTCTTATTCTTGCAAGTCACCAATAAATCTGAATAATTTACAGTAATCTAGACTAATTACAATCCTAGGAAATTCTGGATATAATCAATCCTACTTGGAGAGAGAGTAACTTGTAACTTAAGCTCCTACTTAACAGTTTGAATTTTTAAAGCCTAAGAAATGATCTTAGATTCAATACATGTAAATTTGAGGGAGGGGGGATTAATAGGAAAATATGCAGAAAGCACATACTAAACTGAGAAATTGACAAAATGTGATGCAAAAGTCATGCTTTCCTGCAATTAACGACATCACAGGAAATTTTAAAGAACAATTTCCTTGCCAAAACCGGTTTGGTAGAGCGTAGGTCTGTGGACTGAAAGGTCTTAGGTTCGATTCCGGTCACGGGCATGTACATTGGTTGCGGGAACATCCCCGGTAGGGGGTCTGCAGGAGGCAGCTGGTCGGTGTTTCTCTCTCATCGATGTTTCTAGCTCTCTATCCCTCTCCCTTCCTCTCTGTAAAAAATCAATAAAATATATTAAAAAATAAAAAAAAATAAAGAAGTTTTCTTAACTCAATGATTTCTAGCTATTCTGGCTTTGGAATTTCATATTTTCATATCTTCCTTAAAATGCTCTTTAGTACAAATTTTTGAAATTTAAAAAAAATTTTTAAACTCTGAGATAACTGCAAAGCTCAAGAAACACCATTTTAATTGGCATGGCCTTTAAAAATTGTTCAAATTCATTTAGTGAAAGAAACAGGTTCTGATAGCAAAAAATCTTTATTTTTAAAAAATATATTTCTTTATTAATTTCAGAGAGAGGAAAGGAAAGGGAGAGAGAGATAGAAGTATCAATGATGAGAGAGAACCACTGATCAGCCACCTCCTATACACCTCCTACTGGAGATCAAGCCTGCACAACCCAGGCTTGCGCCGTACCAGGAATTGAACCCCGACCTTCTGGTTCATAGGTCGACACTCAACCATTGAACCATATCAGACGGGCAAGAAATCTTCATGAGTGTATACATAAGTGCAATGAAGCCAAAAACGGTATAGCACAATAGCATTCAACATAAAACTGTATATCGCAGAGTAAATGTAATATATCAAAGTTTAAAACAGTTAGATGGTGAAAAATGTGACCTGTGTTCAATTTAATCTGACTTTGTGTTCCTTAAATTTAACAGGTCATTTAGACTGTAGGGTTTCTCATAACCATTAAAAAGTATTTTAAAGACTGAATTTCTGTAAAGGAGATTTTCAGTTAGAACATTTCCATTCATCCTATTTCCTACTCACTACCTACCCAAAACACTTTAAAAGTTGAGATCTAAAGATTCTTGAAGCATAAAACAATTAAAATATTTTCTATAAGCCAAGGAAATATAAGTGCAACAGAGTTCCTCTAAGAAATATAAAATTTACACACATGTATTTAATACATATATAAATATATTAAACAAACATGGTCAATACTATAAAAACTAGTAATGAAAAAAGTAAAGAATTTTAAGAATCAGGCCAACAAATCTCAAATGCCAGCTATAGATTAATTCTAAATGATTAAAAACATTATCACACATCACCAACAAGTTCTGTCACTCTATAAGAACTTTCAAGAGCATAAATTATGGTGATTCAAATAAATTCTCAAATTTACATGGAAAATTTACACTAAAAATGTAATCTACAAAAAAAAACAAAAAAAATTAATCTATAGGCAAGTAGAGTTCTTCTGAGGATTAAGCATGTATAGCAATCATTCCAAATTTAGTAAATGTGACTATGTAATTCTGGTCTTAACCTATAAATCTATTTCTGACAAATCATCATTTAAGATAACTGGGGGGGAAAAATCTTACTAGGATTAGAAAACTTGGTTGCATGTAACAACATAAATTCACACAGCTACAAAATAATGTTTTGAAATCTTCCAATAGTATCTTTAGAAAGCTTAACATCAATGAGATTGTAGACTTTGTGCTGAGTTGAAACTGATGTACAGGTGCATCCTGACCCACATTTCTTAGTAAATAAGTTTCAAAATTGACAGTTATAGCATAGCCAGAGACATTTTCCTAAGTATACTTTTCCTTTCAGTAAATAGTTATAAAAAGCTTTCTACATGGAAAGAATAAAAGTAAAAATAAAATATTTTTAGTAGAAAGCTTATTATATACCAGGCCAAAATGTCAAATGACCTTTCTTTATTCTATTTCATTTCAGGAACTTCCACAAAGGAAAAAAATAATCTGAAGCAAAAATGCATTTAAAAACTCTAGCCAATAAAAAGCAAATTTACAATGTATATAAATTTTTTAAGCAGAGTGCATTTCTCCTCTCATTACTCTATATTAATATTCATGAAACTTTTGTTTTTTTTGCAAGACAATCCCTACATCTATGAAGTTCAACTCACTTTTTTAACTAAACACAATCTCCCTTCTCTGGACTGGCCTGTTATGAAAGCTTGGAAAGGGGGAATGGGGGAGAACCTTAGAGTTAGTAACTATGACAGCAAGAGCAAAGAAAAAGGATAGCACAGCAGCATGAGGAAGAAAATGAAAGTAAAATAGAAGCAGGTTCTCCTGATAAACACCAAGGCAGTTAGTTGTAAGATAACATTTCTGAGGATATAAAGCCTGTATGGGTGAAATAATGACTCAGAATAATTAGAGAATATGTAATTATTTAAAATGAGTATGCATTATAAAAGATTACTTTAAATAAATTGATTTTTCAGGGTTTAATTTCTTTCACCTATACTATCAAATTTCACTTACTACTGTAGTTACCCCTTTGCTTCAGATATGGCAGCAAAATACATAAAAGATTACTGAAACAGGTCAGAATATAACAAAGCATAATCTCTTGCTCTCAAGAGTCTTATTTCCTATTTGGTTCCTATTTCCCCTCTAGATATTTCTGCCTCTTAACCATCTCATTCATTGCTCACTAATGAATAAGAGAAAATGGACAATGTGATTCTCCTATTCACTTACACAGTCAGTATACCTATAGAGAGTGAATCAAAGCTGAGATTCATCTTATAATTTAGCCTCTCAACAGTGATGATTCTAATCAAACTGTTGTCTAAAACATTATTTACTAATAATACATTAAGTAGTAAGATGGAATTTCAAAATCATATACTTAAATTCTTATTTTACAGTTAAGAAATCATTCAGAGAACTAATTAGTGCAAAGATGGTATCAACTCTGGTTTTATTAACTCCTAGACCAGTACTTGTTCAACTAAATAATGCTGCTCTCCATAACTGCCCCTTTTTCACTATGATCTCTTCTTATCCAGTCTGCCTATGAAAGCTGATAAACTAAATAGCCAGCAAGACCAGAAAATCTCAAGGCTCATGTCAAAGGCATAAACTGTTTCATTGTCTAGCCAAGATTTTTACTGAAATTCTAACTGCCAAACCTTTCTTGTTTCTTGTCCATCACTATAGTTAATGTTTCAGTTATGTAGTATCCTATGTGTTACATAAAATATGATGTAAATTATGATAAGCACATAAGGAGCGCACAGTATATCAGGAACCAAGTTAAGCCCTTTACATATAGCATTTCAATCCTTCAACTTTAAAAAACATAAATAGTACTTTAATACCCATTTTATAAATGCAAAAATCAATTCCTCAGAAGTTAAAAATCTGCCCTAATTCACACAGCTAATGCGTAGAACTGAGGTAAGATATCAGGCAATCTGACTACAACGTCCATATTCCCGATTTTCACATATAATAGCTAAATGGATTGTATTATTGTCGTGTAGAGGTCTACAGGTAAGTTAAAGACTCTATATTAGAAAAGGTTTCTTACAAATTCATATAGCTTTATATGGCTTATTCCCATAAACGGTATCTTCTTTGCAAATACATGGCTCAAATAAAAACCTTTAACTCGTTCATATACTTGTATAATTACAACTCAAATGTGAAAGAAAATGGGGGGAGAGAGAGCACTGCAGCAATACTTTAACAAATGTCAGATCGGTAATGTCCAGAATTTTTTGCAGCGATAGAAATGTTTTTTTTGTCTGTATTGTCCATCATAGTAGCCACTAGCCACGAGTGACTAGTATTGGAAATGTGTTTAGTGTGACTAAGTAACTGAATTTTGACTATTTTGTAAGTTTAACTTAGAGCCACACATGGCTAGTGGATACTATATATTAGCACAAGTAGAGAAGACAAAATATAGCACAGAAAAAAAATAAATAAATGCCTTTTATTTTTGGAGAGTGCATTAACAGTCAAATCAATTTAAATGTCTCTTTTTTCTTGCTCTTGCTTTAATTATTAACCCAAACAACAGAAACCTCCAAAGATTTAAGACAAACTTTCTATGAACTCTTCTTTGTGTACCTCAATGGGGGAAAAAATAATTAAAATTTATTACGAAACAAGTTTCATATATTAGACACTTTTTAGTCTTTGGATAGCTAAGGGGAAGAATCTGAATCTGAAAACTCTGCCACCTATTAGGTAACTAATAATAATCACAAAAACTTTCAATTCTCTCCATAAATACTTCATAATAAGTGCTTACCTTGATTCTCCACTACTGTTTCTAACACTTTCTTCATCACTATGTCCATTCATTGTAAATATCAACAAGTTTTAAAATGGAATATAAATCTTCCCAGTTTAAAAGATGAATATAAATACTCTTCCTTGAATATCAAAAACTGACAGGTGAATTTTCTTCAACAGTCACAGGTTTCCTAGGACCCTTTTTGATCCACTAAAAAAAAAAAAAAAAAAAACATATTAAGAAAATTTCACTAGAAGAAAAAAAATTAAGTCTATTTAGAATTTACACAAATTTAAACCACTCAGATTAGAGGTGGTAAGGGATAGAGATCTTTTATTCAAAATACCTAGGCTTCTATCAACTACATTCCTGACTATTAACTAAAATTTAGCACACCATTCCTTACTTTTGACAGAAGAAATTAAAACATTTGTGGAGTGATGAGACTTTTCCTTTCCAGTGGTAGTATATAACATATACATACACCCAAAGAATAGAAAATGGAACCTTATTAAATACTTGGCCAAACAAATTAAGGAGGGAAAGGTTACCTTTAATTGAGCACTAACACCTATTGCCTAGAGAACTTCATATACTCAAGTGAGAGAAAGTTTTGCAAATGCTTACATGAAAGCAGAATAAAAGGATATTAAAGGGTGTCATATAATCTTAACAAACATGTATAGGTCAAACAAGTATGTCCATCCTTTCATAAGCAAACCGATAGTGGACTAAAAAATAAATAAATAATATTTATCCAGGTTGGACTTAAAGAGATTCCATTAAAAAAAAAAGGTAATAAAATATATACTATTTATTTTGTAATAAGGGATTTAGGGCAAAAATCATGGACCAAGACACTGCATTTCCACCTTTCAAGACACCAGCACAACACTGGAGATTCACCTACAAGCCATCCACGAATAAACAAAGGAGATCTCTGGCAGGGGAGGGAGAGGAAGAAGCGGGGGAAGGAGACGTCAGATCCTTCCCCAGCCAGAAAGTACCGAGACAGCCAACTGAGCAGGGCTGTCCTTCGACCTCAGCAACGAGAATTCACTCCTGTGATTTCCACTCCACAAAAAAAAAGGGGGGGGGGGGAGGGTAAGAGACAGGCCGTTGCCAATTCAATCATAGCAAACTCTGCATTAGATCTGGATTTTAATTCGCCAGAGACTACAGTCCAGTAGACTCTGCAAGAACTTGGTTATCCAAAAAGTAACTATATCCTGAAACACTTATTACTGATGTTTGAAACACTTATTACTGATGTTAAACATTCATTCCAGCCGGCCAAAGAGCTTTACTATTAAAGTGGTCTTACTTAAAATTAAAAATCTAGATACTCTAGCAAACTGCCTCTTCGTGGAGAAAGTTCACTCCTCTTTCCGTTCTTTCCTTTTCACCTTCCTTTCGCCCCTCAAAATGGCTTTCTTTGTACACTGTAACTTCCTTTCCCCATCATCTCCCTTCTCCAAGTCCTCTCGCTGAGACCCTTCGCACAAGTTCCGAAGCTCCAAGCGCACGCAGCTCTCTCCGAGCCTTTGAAGCATCTCAACGACGACTCTTCCCCGAAGTCATTAAACCTCTCCAAATCCTCTACACGCCCTGCCTTTTCACAGTTGTTTCTGCTTCTGCTAAGTTTTCGAAGCAGAGCTCGACAGGACGTTAGAAGAAACCCTTCCTCCTCCCTCTCCCACCATCGCAGTTTCAAGGCTACCGGCCTCCCAGCGGAACGCACCCACCCTACTCCTCCCCGCCTCCGCCTCCGCCCCCGGGGCCTCCCGGGGCCTCCCGAGGCCTCCATCACCGTCCCGGAGCCTCTCTTCCCGCCTCAAACTTCCCGCAGACCCGCCCCGCGCCCTCCCAGGCTCGCCCCGGCCGCCGCCGCCCCTCCTCCCCCGCTTCCCCACGTGCAGGGGGCCCGGGTCGCGTTGGGATCGCTGCACCGGCCCAAGGCTCGCGGCTGCCGGAGCCTCGCAGCTCTCCCCTCGCGGCCCCGCCAAGCCCAGGCCAACCCCGAGCAGGGAAGGCCCGCGATCGGCCGCCCAGCTGCCAGTCCGCCCGCCGGGCGCGAGGATGCGCTCCGCCGCGGCGCCGGCCTGCGCTCGCCGCTCACACGCCCCCTGCGCGCCCCGCTCGGCCCCCGCCGCCGCCGGCCCTCGGGGAGCTGCTCGGCCTTCGCCCGGCGTCCGGCCGCTGGGCCGCCGCCGCCCGGGCACCGCGCAGCCTCCGCCCTCCGCCCGGCGGGCTGCCGTCCTCCCCGCCACATCCTGACCCGCCCGCCGCTCCCTTTCTTACCGGCTGGCGTGCAGGCTTCGCGGGGCGGAGGGAGACGACTCGGATCGGCTGTCTCTCCCCCGCGCGCCCGGGCCCGCAGTCTCTCCAAGCCGAGAGGAGTCAGTCCTCAAGGCTCCGGGCGTCTCGGGGGTAAGCGGGAGTCCGGGGGAAAGGAGGGGAAAGGGGAAGGACGCGGCGGGGAAGGGGAAGCCCCGACCCGCGGCGGCACCAATGCGCGATCCCCCCTCCGGAGCGGATCCAACAATCAATTCATTATTGAAGCACCAACGGCGAGGGCAGCAAGAGCAGCGACAAGTCAATCAGCCGCCGTCGTCGTCGTCGTCGCCGCCGCGGCCACGCGCGCGCTCCCGTTCCCGCCGCTTATCGGCTCTCGGAAGCCGCCATGACGCCGAGAGAGAGCGAGAGCGCAACCGTCTCGGTCGTAAGCCGTCTCCGCTGGCCCTGCCACCGAGGTCGCCGGCGCCTCCGCCTCCCCGCGCGACGTCAGCTCCGCGCGGCTCGCTCCCCTTCCTCAATCCGCGGCGCGAGGCGAGCTGGCGGGCGGGCGGGCGCGAGCACGTCGAGCCCTGCGACTGGCGCGCGGGCAGTGGGAGGAGCCACGCCGCGGAGTCGGAGGGCGCAGGGAGCGAAGCGATTGGTCCCAGAGTCCGGGCGGCGTGCGGGGGCGCGCACGCGCGCGGGCGGGAGCGCGCACGCCGGCTGCGCGGAGGCGGCCGGACTCTGACCGGGGCCGAATGGGCCGCTGATCTTTGCCTGGGCGCCCTCCCCTTTAGCGGCCTGGCGTTGAGTTCCGGGAAGTGGGAGCTGCAGGCTCGCTCCGGGCGGGTATGGACTGAATTCGGGACCGTGGCGCCAAGGATGTCGAGGCTGAAAGACTTGAGAAGGAAAGAGGAAGCGGGGGGCGGGGGGTAGCGGGGTACCGAAGACTCTATGGAGGGAGGGGGGGGGGGGGGGATTCGGGGCAGCCGCGAAAGGTTCACACGGGATTAGTGAAGGGTCCGGGGTCGAGCGTAGGGTCCGCTCGCCCAGGCCTCGGCCGGGGCTGAATGCCTTGTCGGGAGGCACGGGGCCGGGGCCGCGGCCGCTGCGTCACACCGCGCAGCCTGGGAACCCAACTGTTGGGCAACTGGGGTCCCCTCCCGCCGCCCCGCGCGCCTAGGCGACCCGCCGCCGTGCTCCCCCGGGCCCGGGGCCGCGCGTGGGCGGGGCCGCGCCGGCGATGACGGAGGGAACAGGGAGCCCGAGTTGTTGACATCCGGTGCGGCTTCTAGATTTCATCTTTTTTGGGGGGGAGAGGGGGGGGCAGCCCAAGCCCTGCTCAGGAAACAAACAACACAAAAAAAGACAACAACTTTTACAACCTTTCTAGGTTCCTTCCCTGGAAGGCGGGGCGGAGCGGGGCGGTTCAGAATCGCAACCAAAAAAAAAAAAAAAAAAAAAAAGCCATTTGTAGGACGTCGGTAACTGTCTCAGTTTAAGGAGTTATAATGTAGTTGACGGGTTCTCTCTCTGTTACTGTAGCTGCGGGCCTAGGATACAGTCCTAGGGGCGAGTCCTGGGAAACTTGTCAAGCATGGAGGTGTCCCGACTCACTCTTTGAAAGCATTTTTTTTAATTAAAAAAAAAATAGTTTACACTATTTTTCTGCTCCATGTCAATCTTGAATCACTCTAAGTTAATAATTTTTGAAACTTTCTGCTCCCATGCTTGGGTTATTTGATGTGATGTAAAGGCCCACCTTGCATGAGTTTGAATGGGATGAATGCATTTCCAAGGTAATTCTTTTACACGTGTGGGAAATAATCAGCTTTTATAAACAGTTGGGTTCCAAGCCTTCAAAAGGATCTCAACACCTAACTCCAAGTATGTGTTCTTTGTATGGGTACCTTCATCTTCACCCTTGGGGCGTAAGGAAAGGCAAAAAGGTACACGTGGTCCACTCGGAAAAAAATGTATGTCTGATGAATAAATAATGAAACAAAATGAAACACTACTGTGCTTTGTAAAATTATCCGTGTTGAGCCTCTTTTATTCCTTTCCCCCTAGTTATCAAGTAGCTAGAACGCTGTGTTGTGAGGAGTAACTCCATCTCTGAAGTAGCTGACTGCTAATTTTAATATACTTTTTAAATGTGATAAAGGTGACTTAATGACAGGAACTTTCTGTGCTTCCTACTGATTGCTTTCTTGGATTACTAGAGTGATAAGAAAAAGGAAAAGAAAAAAAAAAAGGCCCCCAAAAGCAGTAACCATGGCTAATTATGAATTTTGTCATCAGAAGTATTAATCAGATAAAGTCTTTAGACATTACTACTAGTATATTACGTTTTTATCATTACTGTATAGGCATAGTCTGTATTTTCTGAAAACTCATTAAATCTACTGATTTGCCATTGTATATGATATGCTGCATATATTCATATGCGAAGCTTGGAGACGGAAGTTTTTTTTCTTTATACTTTTTTCTTTTTACTGAATTTATGGGGGTGACACTGATACAGAATTTTCGATGACTATTGACAATGTGGAGAAATGAAAAACTATAACAATTTTTTTTGTTAACCATTTGTTATCTGCACAGTTAAATTCTTAACCTATTGGTACTGAAAACAAAAAACTTCATAATCTCAATGTATCACTTTTAAAAATCCTTGAAAATTAGCCTGGACCGGTTTGGCTCAATGGATAGAGCATCAGCTTGGGGACTGAAAGGTCCTGGGTTCGATTCCTTGGTTGTGGGCATATCCCCAGTAGGGGGTGTGCAAGAGTCAGCTGATCGATAACTCTCTCATTGATGTTTCTAACTCTATCTCTCTCCGTTCCTCTCTGTACAAAATCAATAAAATATAAATAAAATAAATAAAAATCCTTGAAAATTAATATCAATCAGGAAACTTTTATTACTATCTG